TTCACAGTTTATGAAAGTGGTCTTGTTATCAATCCACTTTTCCCATATCTGGGTGGCTCCCCTGATGGAAAAGTATTTGATCCATCTGAAAAGAATCATTTTGGACTGCTTGAGATTAAGTGCCCCTTCAAATGGAGGGATAAGTCTTTAGATGAAGCTTGTCAAGACCCTACCTTTCATTGCCAGGCGGAAAATGGCAAATTTTACCTGAAGAGAGTACATGTTGATGGATACTATGCACAGGTCCAAGGTCAGCTTCTTCTAACAGGACTTAAATGGTGTGACTTTGTGGTATATTTGAATGTTTCGAGGTGTATTAATGTTGAAAGAATATACCTTGACCATGACTACTCTGAACAGACCCTTTTGCTCAAGCTGAAAGAATTTTATTTTGATCATGCAATTAAGTACTTGATTGAAAATTAAAAAAGAGAACTTATGAATAAATAGATAAATAACTAAATAACTCTATAAATTTACATTGTGTTGTATTATGGACTGTTAATTATTGGTTCCATAAGGTTTTTAAACATACAGCACACACTCCATAATTGACTCACAACAGCAATCATGCTAACAGGAATTTTGGTAGAAAAAATCAAAAACTAACATTTCCAATTGCTCTTTGAACATGGATTCTGTGTTGAGCTATTGTCTGAGTTTTAATAACATCACTCTCGTTAAATTTTGGCTCTTCTCCAAGAAAAGGTGGAATATTCAGATTTAAACCAAGTTTCTTCAAATCGTCTTCAATGTCAAAACCTTTATCAGCCATCACTGAATCATTTGTCATTATCTCACCTACTTCAACTTCCTGTGTCAATAATTTTAGAAACCCACTTCTTGTGGTGATTTCCTTATCAGAAATAAGGCCACTATATAGTTGTGATACAAACAAAATACCTCCTTTGGCATCGACTCCCCATAGACATTTAAGAGTGTTTGTGGACTTGTAAGTAGAATAACTTTGAGATTGTTTTAGGAGAGAACATGGGCATTCTATTTTCAGTTCAGTACAATCCATTATTACAAGAGTGGTTGGATACTTAGCTTTGAATTCTTGAGGCATTTGGTTGATAATAACATTTCGATGAGGCCATATTTTGATCTTACCAAAGAAGATGTACAAATAATTGATCCATGTAATAAAAATATTTTAGACATTTGCTTTAGGGATAGAGAATCTCAAAGCTAAGTCAAGATTGGTGAGTCTTAATTTAAGTTTCATCATAATTAGAAGAAATTCATCTTCTACAGAAAGTTTGTGGTTTCGAGAAGTGGGCCTTCATCTCTTTCACTTGATGAACTATTATCATCATCTGAATCTGAATCAGAGTCAGAATCAAACAAGATACCAGTATCCACCCGACGATCATTTGCCATCTTCGTATTCCAGTAGATTAGTTTACTTCTGTCTAATCCAGGCAAGACAAATTCCAAAACTTGTCTGAATTTCTCGTAGTCACTGA